TCATCTCGGAAGTAAGCCTAATTTGTGGTTTTCTGAACTTCTTTCAGTAGCTTACTTTTTTGTGACAGAAGCTATTTTCTTGTACTTAATCCTTACGTTTAGAACGAACGAACACTGTATACGAAGTCAAAAAGATTTTAGCATCGACATGGCTAAAGGCTCTTCGTGTTGACTTCAGAATTCTTAAACCTTCTGGTGGCTATCGCACAGCAGTGTGCAGTAGTTTTTAAGTCTTGGCTAACGCGGACTCCCAGGTCATGGTGGGCTTGGACAACGGGTAGCTCAATGTTATTCACCATGTGTGTACCTGTACCTTGCAGACCAATATGCATCATAATGCACTGCCAAATCCTAGACCATCCAGCTAATTTTTCCATGTCATCTTGAAGCTGTAAACTATCAACTTAATTTTTTATCTCTCTACATATCTTGACACCGTCGGTATGTAAGAAGACTGATAATGATAGGAGGCTAGAAAGGTCATTAGCATTCAGGAGGAACAACACTGGACCCAAAACTGTATTTGAAGCACTCTTCTAAGCACAGTTTCCAAGCCAGACAACTTTGAGTTCACCTGTGCTTTTTGTTGACGTCAAACTAGGAAGTCCTTGATCCACATAAATAAACTGCCTTCTATACCAATATTACTTGACTTAAATAACAGCCGGATGTGAGAAAACTTGTCGAAAGCCTCACTTAAGTCAATGTAGGCCATATCTATAGTTAACTCCTGATCTTTAGGATTGCACAAATTTTCATGGACTGCCAATAAGTTTGTGAGACGTAAGTGACCTGTTTTAAAGTCATTCCGTTTTCCAGGAAGAGTCCATTTTACACCTAAATACTCAAGCATTTCCTTCTAAATAATTTTTATAGCATTTTAACAAACACACTAGTCAGGCTTATAGTGATGTGTATATTCAATGACTTTTGTACTGACAAAATAAAAACTACACTTGTGTTTATTGTTTACTGTTCTGAAGAATTACGATCTAGTTCGGAATTTGTTCATTTAACTTTGTTTCTATAATAATAGACCTAATCCTGAAATTGTAGATTTGTCATGATGTGACTACATCATCTGTAAGTCCCTACTTGGGAGTCACGTCGTTTTCTATTCTGACTTGTATCGTGACAATCAGCAATCCGATGTTTAGCGTGTAGCGTGGTGTCCAGTCGAGTTGGACTATGAGCACCACTACAAGGAAACGCGTGCCAAGTAAACCAGAAGGCGAATATAAGGCGGAACCAAGTTTATTTTGTTGGCGATCTCGTGGTATCGAACGAATACCGAGATCGCGCCAAAAAGGATACAAATAAAATCGGCGGGCGAGAGTACGTGCGTACGAGATCACAAACCACGGAAAAGTTAAGGAGAATAATAGAGGAGTAAAATAACGGTCACTAGCACAATTAAACAAACGAGCACAGTAAAACAATCACTGGTACAACTGGTTATAATAATAATTGTTTCCATTAAACCAATTTCGTTCTCTTGATAAAAGTAGGTCACTACAAGCGATTCTGAAGAATACATCTGGGTTGGAAAGAAAGACGGAGGTTACATGGGGTGACCACGCATGTATGGTCGAGCTATTTCATGTCGACTAATTGTCCCCGAGTTTGCTACTGTTGGCCTGCACTTAGGGTTACATGTTGAACGTAAATTTCCTCAGTAATCATACACTCAATTTCAAAGATCTTGCGCTTGGGAACCAATACTACTACAAGCTTTTCCGCTGTGATCGAGTCCTTAAGAAGGTTAGTGGTTATCTAATATATGCATCTAAAAATATGAAGATGGAAATCTTTAGCGATGTTTTCCTCAGCGATTTTCCTGATTCTATATGGCTTACTGTACACTCTCATGGATGTAAAATACTAACTGAATGTGTATATCGAGCTCTAAACAATCCTGATTCAACCAAAAGCACTATAAGTTGGTAATTCGCTAAGACTGCCTCTCTTAATTTCGCCAGAAAAATTATTTGTGGTAATTCAAGACTTCCCAGCACTAACTGAAAGAAACTCCAACCCATCGTGCTTTGGAAACATACTCAGTTACTTAGACACACGGTTAGCAGCAACATGTACACATGGGTACACAAAACCACAACATCCTCAACTTGATATTCTGTCACATCACACCAACATATGTAGTGATTGGAGAGAATTCTCAGAGCAGCGATCATAAAACAGTCCTCTATACTGTACTGTTTCTTGTAAAGTGCAACAAACCCAAGACAATAGCTATGCGTTTCCAATATAGAGATTATGCACACGCTGAATGGGAAAACTTTCGATTTCTAATTAGGCACTTTGACTGTAGCAGTTTCTCTACTGATGTTAAGCTCTCAGAAACAATAGAAATATTCAATATTGCTAGACGCTACTATCCCCTCCTAAATTGCTTATGAAACACTCACTCTTATATCAACCAAAAAGCTGTGTCTAAGCCGCGGAAACTAAAAAGGATTTATTGTACATCTAAAGATCTCAGTACTCAGGATAAAAAAGTAAACAAGAAGAGGAACATACTGCGCTCACTACCTCATGCGAATCCCTCAGCTTATGTTGTCTCCTTAAAAAGCGCATAAGAAAGAGTGTAGACCGCAACACTCACTCCATACGGTACGATGCTGTGACGTATTATAACCAAACAGTTATATGTGTACTGCTAAGTGAATGGTTTTTTTCACAATTGGAATAAATCTCATGCCCTGCACATTAACGTCGAATGCATCGGCAAAAATAATCTTAGTACTATCAATGCTGATCCAGTTGCCTACTTACTTACTCACTCCTGTAACCCCTTATGGAAGGGCATAAGCCGACCACCAGCATTCCCTCATTCAACACTGTCCTGGGCAATCCTTTCTAGTTCTTTCTGGTTGATACTCATCCCTCTAATATCTGCTTCCAACTCCCGACGCAGTGTTCTTCGGCCTTCCTCTTTTCCGTTTTGCTTCAGGATTCCAATTTAGTGCTCGCCCCGCAATACAGTTTGATAATTTCCTCGATATGTGGCCTATCCACTTCCATCCCCTTTTCCTAAATCCCTCCTCAGCTGGAGGTTGGTTTGTTCTCTCTTACAGTAGACTGTTGCTTATGGTATTCGGACAACTGACATCGAGTACCTTGAGTAGACGATTATTCGTAAATACCTGCACATTTTTGATGGTGGTTATGGTAATTCTTCAAGTTTCAACTCTGTATTGACGTTCGTATTGAAGGTTCTGGCCTTGATATTGGTTGGAATATGTTTCGAGTTCCATGTGTTCTTCAATTGTAGGAATGCTTTGCCTTGAACTCCGCATTAGATCTTGCTTCGAAAGATGGTCTTGACATCTATAGAAAGGTCTATGTGTGCTGCTTCGATGTCTAATAATGGGCTCAATGGAGCTGGTCTATTCAAGAGTTCCTTGAAGTGTTCCACCCATCTGTTTCTCCGTCCTTGAATTTCAGTGATGGGGGTGCTTTCTCTGTTCTGAAACGGCCTCCCTGGTTTACTACATTTCCGTGCCAGTTTCTTCGTTTTGTCATATAGTTGTCTGATATTTCTTTATGTTGAATCTGTAGTTGCCAGACCTTCTATGTGTTTCTGATTGCCAGCCCTAATGTTCATTTCCAATCGGTTGTTTGTTTCTGTGCATTCAGCTTGTGCCTCCACTGTCTCTGTCGTTGTACAGCTGTTGTTGATTTCTGTCTTTCTGTTCTTCCGTTCTTGAATCTTGTCCAAGGTTTCGATAGTGATCCATTGATTATGATGATACTTCTTGCGATCCAGTACCGGCTGACACGTTGAAGTTAATGCTCCTTTGATCCGTTTCCAGTTATCCTCCATCGTATTCTCATCCTACTAAACCAGATATTTTAAGGCTTGGAACTTGTGATTGAGAGCTTTGTTGAATTGTTTTATTTTGTTAGTATGTCGAGAGAAAGCTCTATTGAACCTTTGTAATTGACCTTCTCCAGTTGTCAAGCATTTCTTTAACTTCAGTTTTATCTTGGTCACAACTAGGTGGTGATCTGGTAGCATCAACCTCTCTGCTTGTTGTCATGTCTTCCATTGATATTGTGAGTTTTTTAGTGATACAAATATGGTCAATCTGGTTCTGTGTGGTGTGATCCGGTGAGACCCATGTAGCTTTGTGTATGCGTTTATGCATGCCTCTTCCAAGGAACAACGAGCGTAGTTCTACCACAATCGGTATGGCAACTCACCAGATAACATGAGAACAACCGGCCATGATGGAATAATGAGGCAGCCGTCAAAATACATTGTTAATTACGAAAACCTCGCGCAAGTGAAGTGATCTAACGATTGTGGGATAAGGACAAATGATAATAGTCTCATCTTGAACCAGTAAAACACGAAATGAAGGGAGTGAAATGTAGTGACCATACATTTAGCGATAAAAAAGAGGGACTATTAATACATAGTGTGTAATAGAGTGATCTCGATTTACACATTCGCAAAAAATGCTGCATCATTTCATCGACCTTTAGCTTCAGATTACCACCTCTAATGCAAACTAAAATTAATAAAACTTGGCGAACAATCCTCAGATTCATTAAATTTATGTCCATTTTATAGCATCAAATCCCTTTACGTTTTTTATATCAACTAGAGTAGCTAAGTTTAGTTTTCTTAAACTGTTACTGGCTTTTCAGTCAATGAAATTTCACAGCCATGTACTTAGTGACATCATGAGGTATTGGTGCTTAAAGTAGGCGAACAGCTAATCTATTGTCATGACGGAAACGAATCACGGTTTCTGAGGCGTTGCTCTACTTGATTCATTAGAAAATAACAGAACCGTCAAAAATGTCAGAGGTCAACTTTTCAAACATGACTGGGGAAATCGGTTCTTATTCGTCCAATTGACAATTTTCCCCGCTTATTTTATAAATTTTTGTTTTGACTTGACCTGTCTTGAGGAGTCGGTTTCCACCTTGTCCTATTCCAGGTGAAGCGGTAGTCTTGGAACCTGCTCAGGATGATGGTATGTCGATTTAAATTCAATAACCCAATCAAAGATCGACAAGCAACCCTTTCATGTTACCGCCAACTGTATTTATAAATTTACGTGTACCTGCCAAAGCAGCTACATCGGCCGAACTGAAAGGAGAGCATATCTTAGATTCTTTGAACATGTTCCAAAAAGTCTTAGAACAAGGGAAAGAAAGACTTTGAACAGTGCGATCACCAAACATCTCCTTGATACAGGACATCAAGTAGATACCTTACAATCCTTTCGGGTGATTAGTAAGCAGCCAAACTCCAGTCTTCTGAAGTTTGCTGAAGCCATTGCCATCAGGCGACAAAAACCTGACCTATGTATTCAAAAGGAGACGGTGGTTAATCATTCCTTACCCTGGTGACAAATATTCCTTCACTGAACCTTAAATTTTTTTCTCTCTTTTTTTTCCTCTTTTTTCTGTTGCATTTATTACATCATTGGTTCTAATTTATTTTGTCAACTATCTTTCAAATTATTAATCTTTCAACTGAACTCTAATCACTATATTCCTATCAATGTTTATTCATTATGTAATCAATTGTTTCTAACCCATTTTTGAACTGTTGTCACAATTAATGTTGTAGAATATTCTTTCATATTAGGTATATATTTACAATATTCTGTAGGCAATTTAAATCCATTATGCAATTATGATTTTTAAATATCACAGGTTGTAAGCAGCTGACGAGAACCTACGAAATAAAATGAATTCATGCTATTCTGCTAGAATCTTTGTTCTTGCTCTTTTCAAAATGATAAAGGGAACTATGTGTATGAGATTTAAGTACCGACAGAATACGCGTCGCCAATCCCCTACTGTTGAAAATATCAGCAGAGTTTTGTTTTCAAGCCCAATTCAATATTAGAATAGTTTCTGGTAATAAACTGATCTTATATATGTAACGCTTTTACCATGGTAACATGAGTATTAACTTGGACCGAATACGTCAGTTTATGATACCAAAAAGTATTTGAATTAATGTACTAACCAAGAATTCCTGGAATGGTGAAATTTATAACAAACAAAAAGATGAACACAAATGAATGTATTTAGTTTTAAATTTTTAATCAGTGCTCAATCAGGTACAAAGGAATCACTAGTCAGTGGAAATACCACAACCACCACTGCTTTAATGGACATTCAGATTCCCGTAATCTGTTGTGCAACTTAGCTCCATCCTGGGTCTTTCCAGTTGTGTATTGGGCACAGACTGTATGATCTAGAATGCCGTCATAAGGATTGTAATTAACAACCGAAATTGGAACGAACTCACAAGGGTTCTTTCAAGGTATTCGGTTGTTGTAACTGGCTTGCATGTGATTTATACATTTGTCGACCTGTTTTAGCAAATCTTCCGTAAATTGCGTAAAAAAGTTCTTGTGCGAAGATTGTTTTGCTCATGCAATTACATTGTGGTTTCTTCTGCGTACAGTCTGGCGATTCTGCACTGAACGGCTCCAAGGTTGTGGTCAGTTTTTCTCATTTAGTTTCCGTCATTTGTAAGTTTTTAGACAGATAACTCACCAATATCATGAATGATGATCAACCATGACCTATCATAAGAAGCTCATGATGTTCTAAATTCTTGTGAGTCGCTCAATGTTTTGTTTTCTCACTTCGAGGTTTTTTCCTATTTTAAACTCTTGCATATTCTTTGATTTGCTTTCTATCATTACCATCTCTAAACCACATAATCTGACCTATGATTCATAACTTTCATGATTAGCAGTGTGATACACTAAATCTATATCTAATCCACAAAACAGAAGACTTAACCATCTGATTTACTTGTAACATGGAACAAGTAAGGACAGTGTATTTCAACAAGACTCTATGAATAAAACGATATTCATACACACCACAAACGTAAGAAAGTCCAACATGACAAAGGAGGGAAGATGTCGTTACTGACAGGCAAACATGATGGTGAGGAGATAACTTCGATTCACCCATGTGTTCAAGGCAGAATATTTTATTTAATTACGACTCATTATGTTCAATTGGAACGTCACGAACCAGTGGTATTGATACTAATTTATTATGCAAAATACCCATTTAAATAGTGTTTGTGATGTGTAGATAGGCCTGACAAGCTTATTTTGTAAATAGTTTTTAATGTTATTTGTATTTATTTTGTCAATTTTCCACTTTATGTACATTTGTCATTAAATGACTGTACCTGTTGTTTTAGTAAATGACCTTGAGCACTTTTTCCGTTGTGTTACTAACATAGCGTGACACACTTGTGGCTGTTCGCAAATACACTACTACTCACACACTCCTTGTTCTATTCTCACTCGTTATCGAGCCAATTGCATTCTAAATTGAATATTATCCACATTTTAGACTGTTGTGTCATTACTATTACATCCTACGTCAAGGAAACTTACTGGAGTCATATTTACCTCATCGGAGTTATTACTCATTTATAATTGTGGATTTTGGTACAAAAACTCAACGGAATACGCGACAACTAGCTGATTTAAGTAACGTCTCTGAACTTTTATTTTGTGTTACTAATTTATAAATTATTAGTGTTATATTGACTTTTGGACGTAATAATTTTATTGCTTATGTTTGGTTAATATACTTTTTGTTCCACCACAGTGACGTTGAATTGGTTTCACTTCGTACCGAGTAATCCTATTCTAAGCAAAACTGGACATTTCACTATAAACGAGGCGTGCTAATGAGCCTATAAACTCACTAAAGATAAAAGTGAGCTGAAATAGCTTCGACAAAAAGGGAGATACCCATTTGTGTATCAGAAATTTTTTTCAGAACTATATTTTAAAACTACACATAATCCTATACTTTCAGCTTCTCTTCTAACCCCCTCCCTTCATACAGTTGTTTGTCCATTCAAACCATATTTACATTTTTTTCTTCAACCTATTAGAATGCTCTTGCTTAAAAAGTACCTTAATAATGGGAATTTAGTAGTCATACCTTCACTATTTCACCACATATGACTCAATTTCAATAGGCATGAACGTCGTCTATCTTGTTTCTTGTCCTTCCTTTGTCTTACTTCCTTTTCCAGCCCCCCTCAAGATATGCCGCCGATAAAGCATATGGAACAGCTGATTTCGTTCTGCGCCACCATTATTACCTCAGATGTTGATGAAAGAAATAAGGTTGCGGTTTATAGAAGATCTCAAACTTTCGTGGATTTAAAGTGGCATTGGGCCCTAACTACAAAATCCTGAAAGCTGAACACGGTAAAATTGGGAAAATAGATATTCAATATTCAACGTGGAGAAAAACCCAACAATAAGGAATGCGGGAAGAATAAGTTGAATTAATTCGAGTTGATCCAATGGCATGGCTAGGACTTGCAGGCGTTGTCCTTGTTGAGTGTTACCTCATACCTTATACTCTAATTAAATATATTATTCTATCTCTAGCCTAAGTGTGTTCTTCATCATATATTGATGATTGTTACGATGCGACAAGGTGGCGCAGATAATATTGTGACTTCAAATCATAACAACCGAGGATGGAAAACTTACGACTAGTAATACTTGGTTCTGGAGAAACATCCAATTATTACCGAGGGGTGTGTATACAGTGTAAGCGTTTGTTCTGTATTAACTCTTGCAGCTACCTAGATACACGAACTTCTCGACTACTTCTATCTGTTCACCATCCAGGGTGAGTGCAGGATTAGAATCCTGCCAGTCTTATAGAAGTACTTTGCACTTCGAAGGTGCAAAGCACATACTATACCTACGGACACTGATTGCCAACTGATTAAGTGCGGAATGCATGCCTTGGGCATTATCGCACAGTAAGACAATATCATCCGCATGCTCAAGGTCGAGAAGTCTTTCTCCAGGAAACAGATCCACACCACCATTACTTACATCCATCAGAGCTGCTTCCAGAATGTCATCGATGGCAAAGTTGAAGAGGAATGGTGAGATTGGGCAACTCTGCCTAACCCCACTGTTCGAATGGAACAATGGAGAGAGGTGGTTGTATGCCCTCACCCTGCCTGAGGTGTTTGTATATAGGGCATTTAGGATGTTAATAAACTTCTCAGGCACGTCCTTCAATAGACAATCCCAGAGGACAGTCCTATCCAACGAATCGAAGGCAGCCCTGATGTCAAGAAACACTACGATTGTTGGCCTTTGATAAGTATGGCGGTGTTCTAACATTTGGCGGAGGGTGAAGATATGATCAATACATCCTCGACCAGAACGAAACCCAGCCTGCTCCTCGCGAGTCAATCATTCTCGAGTTTTGAACAACCTACGAAGCGGGACGGAAGCCAATAGCTTGGACGCAATCGGAAGTAGACTTATCCCCCGATAGTTGTTTCAGGAACGACGTGAACCCTTTTTAAAGATAGGGACAACTATCGACTCATTCCATGACGTTGGCACACTCTCTAGTTCCCAAACCTTTGTAAACAACGCCGTCAGTTCCTTAGTCAGAAAGTCACCACCATGTTTAAAAGAGCCGGAGGTAAGTCATCTGAACCAGGTGATTTGTAACGCTTCAAGAGTTGGAGTTCCTTGCGGACTTCCACCTCATTTGGTGGATCAGTCATCACCGGCCATGGAGGGCAGGACAGTCTGACCGATGTTGACGGAGCAGCAGGCCAGTTGAACTGCCCTTCGAAAAAATCTGCCCATCGTCCAAGACGTCGATGGATGTTAGTGATTGGCATCCCATCATCCTCGCAGATTGTTTCACTCACACCACACTTCTTGCTGCCAGTGGCTCGGATAATTGGGAAGAGATTCCGGTAATTACCAGGTGCAGCTGCTGCTTCCAGTTCATTAGCATTCTCCGACCACCAAGCTTCTCGGTCCTTACGCAAGCTTTGCCCAATTTCCTTACGTAACATCCTTCGTTTGTGGTCAAACTCACGGTCACCCGGAGTAGACCGACGGGCTTCAATGAGTTGTAAGGAACCAGAAGAAACCCAGTGCTTAAAAGCGGGACGTTTCGCAAACCCACAACTGACTGCTCCCGCCATTTTCATGGCGTCATGCAATTGCAACCAATGCTCATCTATACTTTTCGGTGGGATGGTAGCTAGCCTAGAAACTAGCTCGGTTCGATACTTACTTGCAACAGAAGTTGCAACCAGCTTGCTAACATCAATCCGTTGATGGTGGTCACTTCGTTGTCCACAGAAAAGTAAGGCAAGATTGGCGCAGACCAAAGCATGGTCAGAGTCCAGATAGGTACTCGAAAAGAAGCGGCAGTCTTGTACACAACCAGAATGGTCAGATCTCTTGCTGACCATTTCTCTAGGATAAGCTACAGCCTCTCATGAAATTAGTCTTTGTCATTCTCCTTCCTACTGTTGGTGATTTGGTAGCACTGGATGATGTTCATTGTAATCATGTCCGCTTTTATTTTGAAAGATGCTTTAATGTATACATGTGGCCATGTGAGAGCGTTTCGAGAGGAAGAGCGGACTCTCCCCACCCTTGGTCCTATCAAGGCATTTATGGGCCAACACCTTGTATATGGGAAGCATCGTGTGCTTCATGACCGTAATAAGACAACACCTTTTTTAAAGTTTGCCTTTTCTACCCAGACTATATTCAATGGGTTTCGCTTCTTCCAAATACAGCCAGATTGTTTCGTCTTATTTTTGCGACTATGTTAAAAACTCATTCCGTCTCTCACATTGTTCAAACATTCCACGTCCATTTATTCGTCATTGTTTTCAGTTGTCAGAAAAAGCGTCGGCATCTTGACTTTCAAAAAGTCTCGACTTCCCGAATTCGACACTATAAATCTTCTATATGAAGACTCATCAAGTCACAGCTGAAGGTCTAATTAATTTTCTGTGGTTGGCGTTCTTTTCAGTAGACTTATTTTTTACAAGGTAGATTCGTTAAGCTTACGATCAACTGTGGTCCTAAAGGACCGGGACTAGCTCTACGCGGAGTTAATTGTACTCAGTATTATTAAATATTTTGAATAATTTCAGTTGCTTGATTAATATTTTTATTTGTCCATCTTTTTTTCTTTAGAATAGTCCACCTACTACTAGACTGATTGTCGACAACAAATCATCAAACACCCGTATACTTCGTCAATATAGCAGTAATAATAATTGTACATTTACTTTGTTAAGTGATGATGAGAATGAGAATGTATATCCGCAAACAAACATTGCTACCGATAAATCCCTAAACTTCGGTGATGATGTAAACACTAGTGATGAAGACGAACCAGATGTGAATTTTAAAAAAGTTGGAAGCGAACGAAGTTTGCCATTTACGGTAGTGACTGATATTAATGTGAGTACATGTGTAATGTTCACTCTCCTCTTCATCGCCTATCATATTTATCTGGATAGCCAGGATTTTTTTGTACTATTGATATATTGTAGAATATGGGTACAAACCTAGGTAGAGATAGTTGACATGATTTGGCTTTTATCTAGAAAACCAATATGCAAACTGAACAACTGTTTTTTCTTAGTATGTAATCTTTAAGTAGTGTACATATATTATACTTTCAAGAATCAAATCTTAGACCTTCAACTCGTGGCAAGTATTTCATCTTTAGAAATTAATGAATTCAGTTAGTTTTAATCGATGTAGACGCAAGCACAAATGTGCTTTGATCCACGTTTTCCTACTAAATCAACACTGTGACAAAATTAAGTCGATAAATAGCTATGTAATTGAAGTAATCGTGGTGGTAATGATAATATGAATGACAACATATTGGACATATGGTTCTCAAAGAAGGAACGTATGGAGGAACACTGAAAATGAAGATGTAAAGGAAGATAAGTGGTAATTACATATGTGCCACTGTATTGAACTTTACACCATATCACCCTGTTCTTCCAACCATTGGTCAGGATAATCACGCAGGCCCGACTACTGACTCCCTTTAGGCGAGATGTTGGTCAGTAGAGTAGTAGGCTAGAAGAATACCAACTCTCCACATGGAAATGAGGGAGCAATTTCTGAAGCTATTGGCTGTTGGGTTGAACTGGTTCAGAAGTGAACAGTCCCTCTGAATCGATTCAATGTCAAACACAAGTGATTAGCGATTTGCAACAAAAACTTATGGATGCCGGTGAAAGATCATCGACAGATGCCTCTGGTCCACCTGATTCGACTGGTCAAATGCTCTCATCTCGTTTATGCCAACTACATAACATCCAAGAAGCACGAATAGCTTTGAAATATCTATTCAGACAAGTAGGTTGTACTTTTTATTCTTTTCTAACCAGACTGACCAATTGATGAATCTGTCCAAATTGTCAAGCTACATTTGAATATAAGTGGCCACTGGTTAGACATATAACAACATACGTCCGTGCAATATGGTTTATTAATTTAATGATGTAAGTTACAGCAGAATGTCGATTCTGTAAACAGGCTTCGTAAAGTAATGCCAATAGGATATGAATTCCACTTATTTATTCTCTATAAAAATGTAGTGATCTGATTCGACTAGTGAACAGTTCTTTATTTTGCTTATTCTTGCCCTTTTTTATTTATTTCATAGGCATCGTCATCTGAAGTTTCTAAGATTAATTTAGAAACTCAAATATGTGAATTGGAATCCCAACTGAATGCAGAGAAACGAAAATCTGAGGAGAATGATAAGTTTTCTACTGAAACACCAATACTCGAATGCATTTGTGAAGTTCTTAAGTCGATGCAAAAATCCTATACCATATGTGCCTTCTTGAAGAGGAGCGTTAGCCAGTATGCTACTACACAAATAAATTCGTTTGGCATAATTTTAAAACTTATGTTTGAATTGATCACGACATCGCTGAGAAATCGGCGAACGCAACGAAGTATCAATGACACTATAATGCGTCCCAGCCGGTATATTTCCAGGTCCTTCTGCTTTCCCACTCTTGATTTGTTCGATCGTTGATGGAGTGACATCCACAGGAAGGTCTGTGTGTGCTGCTTCGATGTCTAATAATGGGCTCAATGGAGGTGGTCTATTCAAGAGTTCCTCGAAGTGTTCCACCCATCTGTTCCTCTGTCCTTGAATTTCAGTGATGGGGGTGCCTTCTCTGTCCTGAAACGGTCTCCCTGGTTTACTATATTTCCGTGTTTGTATCCAACTTCAAGAAACGTAAGGGGAGTATTCTAGGAACATCAAACTACATTTGACCGGTGGGAAAAAACATAGTATCTAGTATCATCACTAAAGAATAAATTTTTCTACAAGCAGATAGAAGTATTCGAGAAGTTCGTGTATCTAGGTAACTGCAAGAATTAATATAGAACAAACGCCTACACTGTATACACACCCCTCGGTAATAATTGGATGTTTCTCCAGAACCACGAATTAAATGGCTTGACTAATTCCAAACGACTTGCCTGTGTCTCTAATAGCACTTCGTTAATCTAACACTTAAATACGTAAAAAATATGACACACTTAACTTTTTCACTCTGTAATTTAAGAAAAGTAAGGAGAGTATTCCAGGAACATCACCCTACATTCGACCGGTGTCATCACTAAAGAGTAAAATTTTCTACAAACGCTCATATGCTTTGCAAATGACAACAGGGTCTTTGATAGGATGGCAATATCGTTTAACACCCTTGTCGAAGATAATCTCGTGAAACTTCTCAATCGACTGAGTTAAATGACACTCACATGTTAAAGAGCATAGAGAGTCCGTAAGTATGGGGCTGAATTCTACTGTGTCAATAACACATTGCTTACTACAGGGGCTTTCCAAGCGTAACCAAACCTGATGTGATGAAAGAAAATTGAATGTGGAGTAACTGCTAATTGATCTGTTTGGCAAGACAAATGAGGACTATATTTATGTCGACCACGTAATAAAAAAACGCCACCAAAAGATAACAGTAGAAACATCCAAAGATACGTATAAAATACACATACCTTCTTTAAGTCGGTCACCTTCAGCATGTGTTTTCTTAATTCGTTCAGACCCAGCTAGGTCGACTAAATGTAATTTAACTGTTAATGTACCTCCTGTATTCTCCCCATCCATCTCTGTTATCTTTGGCCGCAACAAAAAACATAGAGTAAGAATGGCATGACTGCGACTGGATCTTAAATTCCGCCCCCCCGTACTCGCAACGCTTCTTTTTGTTGAGCCACAGCGAAGAAGATAAAGAACTTCTTCCGGAGATGTGACCACTGTTTCAGTTAGGCCAGGAACGTTCGGACAATGTGGGAGACCGTATGTACTGTAGTGAACACGAACACCAGTGGGGAGCAGTCGAATGCATATGACACAAAATTACAGAACCTTTTAATAAAATCTAACAATCAAATAGTAAATACGTAATTTGCAAAATGTCCTTCAGTTGTCTCATAATGACTCAGACTTCATTGTTCTTGCATTTTCATAAAAATTGCATTCCGTTCCCATTCTTTACTGTTCGCTCCTCTTGTCTCTCTGGTGCTAGACATTCTGTTCACGACTAACATCATCTACTACTTATGTCAATATAAGTAGCACACACCACAGTACTACTAAAATATTTACGGAACCTCGGAGATACAAATTGACGGTTTTCGGAACCAGTGAAAAACAATGAACACATGCTGAACAGAAAAAGCTAGATACGGGAGAGATACCTCTGTACTCCAGTCACGAAGAACATAATTCTTTCAACACTCAGGGAATCGCTCTGATGCCGTCCAAAGAAGTACGTAATGCATTTATAGGGCGGGTTTCTCAAGGATCCAGAATAATCAAAATGTCCTTCAAAACAAAGAAGGAGGGAATCACAATGAATTTTATCCAAGGATATGCACACACCAATCATTGCAACAACGACCATAAAGATCAGTCAATCATAGCGAAGCACTCCAGATAGGATCTCATCATCCTGACAGTAGACCTAAACACCAAAGTCGGAATAGATAACACTGGATATGGAAATATCCTGGGACGAAATATACTGGGAGAGAGAAACGAGACTTGTGAATTCAACAAAATGGTCATAGGTGGTGGTGGTGGCTTGGAATCTATGCAGTAAAATCTAAATACGAAGTGAGGAAATAACTTAACAAGTTGGTTCTCTTCACGTATTTGTTGGGATGCAGATACATCTTCGCCTAACAGATCATGTATATCCTCTTTATATATCTGGGAAATAACTTAATACAAAAATGTGTATATTACCTCCACGAATGAAACCTTCACTGTATACTCATACTCATAATTCGGTATTTTCTCAAATAAATCCTTAATAATCCGAGGAACAATACCAGTGGATTCTTCTACCACACTTTCGGAGATACATGTACCCATTGTATATGTTTTCCACTTCCAGTTTGACCATAGGCAAACAGAGTAGCATTATATCCTTTGAGAATACTTTCAACCATTGGAAGTGCAGCCTTTTTGTAAACATGCTCTTGAGAATCTGTTTCTTTGAAAACATAGTCAAAGCCAAAACGCTTGTCGTTTCCAATTATTAGCTGATTTTCTTCATTTGGATATGACAAACAGGTCGAACTCCCGTCATTCACTTCACTGTTTGACAATGGTCGAACACGAACACCAACTTTCACACTTGTGTCGCCAATTCCCATTTGTACAGGGTACGGAAGTATCAAAGCGCTAAGAGCTGTTGACAGATAATAATATATTCCTAGCTATAGAAGTTTTTAAACAAAACTTTCAATGAAAAACAATAACATCAATCGGAATGTTTTTGGTACATAACAGAATACAAGACATCATTTAGTGGCTACAAACTATCAGGAACATAGTAACTCATGAAAACTAAACATACCTAATTGTCGACGTTTAATAGGAAAGAATGCATTTATGTGAGGATTGAAGTAACAGAGAATTAAGTAACATTCCACTCGAGAAAGTTTAACTGCTGAAAAGTTTGTAAAACCTGAAGGAAATGTGAGCACTACTTTAAACCATAGTCACGTACTGTTGGGACACTTTGTATTGAACTTTTACCAAGAATTAGGAAAGATATTAAAAGCACGTGAGGATAACTACCAAAGGTGTGATAATAGAACAAAGCTGTCGAAAATGAAAAATGTTTTCGCTCCCGAATTCCCTGGTACGGTCGACAGTGGGGAGATTTCGCTCTCCTTCTCGAAATACTCTCACACGGCCGTGTGTATACATCCTCTGCCAGGGAAATCCTGCTCATTGCCTTCTCGTGGCGGGGGTGTTGTTTACGAAAATGAGAGGACGAAAAGCGAATGTCTGGCGCTTTAACCGGATCACAAACCAATGGTCCACATGGGCTACAGTATCCTGCGGGAACAAATGGCGTATGAACCAATCGTTGGTCACCGGCTATCATGGGATTGCATCTCCTTACAATGCTCCACTGCCTTGTGAGTTAGACCTTTACGTCAAATGCTTGGGGTATGGCCCCCTAAGATAACCACCCGCTTCGGTTTGAGCACCCGGGCAGTATCACAGTCCACACACAAATGATGAACTCTTTATGTCTATGGAAATTACTTTTCTCGCTTCGAAAAATAATCAATTGATTCAAATTATTAACATTACAGTTATTGTCATTATTATTACTATTATTATTATTACTATTATTGTCATTATTAATATTATTATTATTATTTTCCGCATTATTCACTCCCTTTTATTCTTATACAGCGGCTTGTCTTTGGTGGAAATTCGACTGTATCTAAACGTTCTCGAGTCACTGTCCGGTTTAAAATTGTATGTTACCACCGAATACGAGAACTGAAGCAGTTATTCTGAAACCACTTGCACCATTCAAACTGGCTGCCTTCAACGTTCGCACACTTATGCAGGTTGGTCAACAGATAGGGCTGGCTATGTCTTTAGAAAGTCTTAATATTGATGTTTGTTGTCTATCCGAGACCCATATTCAAGACTCTAGCGAAGTACTACAAATTCGCTCTACATCTGTCACTTCGAAAAGCTTGTTTTACGTGCGCTTATCCGGGGACCCTGTGGCATCTTCGTCTGGTCTTGCTGGCGTTGGTGTCGCACTAAGCGCTAGAGCTGAGGCAGCACTAATCGATTGAATCCCCATTAACAGTCGGTTATGTGCTGTTAGATTGGAAAGTTCCATCAAAGTGAGAAGAAATCAGCATGAGATACAATGTCTTTTTGTCATCTCTGCCTATGCCCCGACAGATTGCAGCCCGGATGCAATCAAGGATGAGTTTTACCACCAGTTATCAGTTCTTCTCCAGACAGTGCGTTCGACAGATATTGTAGTACTAGCCGGAGACTTGAATGCACAGGTCGGGCGTCTAGGCACAGAAGAGAGTTGTTTAGCTGGCCGATGGGCACTCATTGGTCGCAGGTCAGATAACGGGGACAGTCTACTGCAACATTACAAAGACAACAAACTGATTATGGCTGGCAATAAGTTTCGGCACAGTCATCGCCGATGTGCCACTTGGCGTCCTCACTCTGCATCTCAAGCCTGGACACAGATTGATCACAACGTGCGTGCGTATGATGGAGTTAGTGAGTGATTGGTTGAGTGGGTTGGTGGTTGAGTTGTATGTGTTGCGAATTGTAGTGATGATGAATGTGTTGTTGGATATGGATGTAGAGTGAATGTGAGGAATTTGTGTCTGGTTATTGATCAGTGGGAGTTGAGTGATTGTGAGTTAGGTGAAGTGAAGTGAAGTGAAGTGAAGTGATTGATTGATTGATTGATTGAGTGAGTGAGTGAGTGTGTGGGTGAGTTAGCTGTGAGGTTAGGTGGGGTGATGTGAGGTAGGTGATACACATGAGATGTATGTAATTGGGAAAAAGGCCATCCGAAAGTAGCGGATGTTTCATGCCTCAGGAGAGTGGGCATCAGATGCCCTGTCCGACCTTGTGCAGGGGACTGCCAACCATCTCTCCTTTTCTGATGCACGATTTGTAGTCGACAACACTATCACAGCTCACAACAACACACTTCACATTCACATGTGCAACAGCTTTGCACGTCTCAACGCAATCTTCTTCATACATCAACAAACACACCACACACTCTTCTACACATAATCTACACTACGCTCCACACTCCACAATCTCATCACTCACCAACACTACTGCATAAACTCAACAATTCACCATCACCTCATCAGTAGTATATTCAGTTTACACAACGGATTCCCGATCATGCACTCCACTAAACAACAAACTACTGTCGAGCATTTCAGTAGCACAGTGAAGTCAACTAAATACTATCGGTTTATTTTGTATCGCACTTCATTTCATTTCATTGCATTGCATTGCATTGCATTGCATTGCATTCCATTGCGTTGCGTTCCGTTGCGTTGCGTTGATTTCCATTGTATCACGTCCAATCGGGTTGCGTTCTGCTGCACCATCTCCTGGTCTCATAATCCACTCGTACAAGTGATATTCACAACTTGACAACTTGACGTCAGCAGCACATCTAAACACTTTTCACTAGTTGCATTACAGACAGAGCAACAACACCAGATATTTGTGCAGACGAATACCAAGCACAGTCAGTCAACTCGGTTGACCGCGAATTTCATAAGTAGGACAACATGGATGGAAGTGGTTTAATTTGTTGATGTTTAGAAATTCTGTGATTTTCAATTGACATTGATCAACCAGTGGTTGACCTGACTTGACTTATGCCTAATACTATGTGGATAGTGGATGCAGTACCAACAAGTTATATTCCACTGATCCTGTATATCTGTTTGTGTGTGAATGATTGATTGTTTGATTGATTGATTGATTGATTGATTGATTGATTGATCGATTGACTGATTGATTGAATCACAAGACAATCTTCTCACATTTTCTTCTCCTCTTCTCTCCTCCACATTCTCATGTCGATCGTTAGCGTCGTTGACGTCGTTAGCGTCGTACTCACACACACGTTTCTCCACTCTCCCACCTTCTTAACATCAATGCACTCGGAAACTAGACTGTTGTGGATGCGGTGGAATAGACCAATAATTATCATGTTAAGTCCAATGGTGTCCTTGGACTTTAAATGAACATTTCCTATTGGTCGATATCTGTTCACTTGTTGAATATTGTACAAAATGTTGTTTTCGATTTTATGGTACGATGTGGTATGCTTGATTGGTATATAAACAAAGTATGTTTGAAATACAATGATTCATAACTCAGAGGCTGTGACTTGTGTTTCTTGACTCAACTG